GTTACCTATTTTAATCCTCTTCTTTTTCCTTCTTCATACTCAGTCACTGCCACAACGTGACACCTTTATGCTGGGCGCTCCCACAGCCCTGAATCCTTCCCTTGGCTCTGCAAGTGTTTCCCCCCTCCCCACCACCCTGGCTGCTTGAGCCGCTCCCAGAGGATGGTCGTCTGCTGAGGCTGCAACGTCCAACATCGTAGCCACTAGTTGTGTGCGGTTGTTTACATTTAAATCAAAATAAAATTCCATTCTTCTGTCCGGCTAGCTGTGTTTCAAGTTCTCAGTAGCCACATGTGGCTAGTGTCTACTGCACTGGATGGCGCAGATAAAGAACGTTCCACACGGAAGTTGTTCCTTGCCCAGCTCCCTCATTTGACTGTTAGTCTCTCCAGGGGCAGGGATGGGGATTTTTCTCTGTTTATCCTTGGTGCCTTCCTAGCACCGTGCCAAGGACATCATCTGTGTTCAATGAATGCAGAGTGGGAAGATGAGTGACGAGGATGCTGGGCTCATGGTCTAAGTGTGCCCAAGGTTACAATCAGCATGTGCCTGAGCTGTTATTTGAACCCAGACCGTTTACGTTAATTTTCAAATGATTGCCTCAATAGCTACTGAAAATGACACTTGTAACATAGTAAGAGTGGAGAAAGCTTTTCCTTCCTTTTGATTTTTTTTTTTTTTCTGGAAGTCTTAGATAGCTGATCCTGAATATCCCCTGGGAACCTCAGAGAAACTCTCACGTGAGAACTGGGTGGGGAAGACTCCAACCTCTGGCCTCTGGAAAGCAATGGTTTGTTTTGTTTTGGGCTGTAAATACACTGCGTGAGTTTGTAAGGGCCGGGCCGCCATAGCAAACTACCACAGACTGGGTGGCTTAAACGGAAGTTGACTTGTCACAGTTTGGGGGGCTAGAAGACAGAGATCAAGGGGTTGGCATGCTTGGTCTCTCCTGAGGCCTCTCTGCTTGGCTTGCAGATGGCGGCCTTCTTCCTGTGTCTGCACATGGCCCCCCTCTGTGGTGGCCTGTGTCCTTCCTGATCTCTCTATAAGGGCATGGGTCAGCTGAGATGAGGGCCCACCCTAAAGACCCCCTTTTAACTTAATCACCTCTTTAAAGACATTATCTCTACATCCACTCCTACTCCAAAGTACTGAGGATTAGGACTTCAATGTGTGAATTTGGGGGAGACACAATTCAGTCCCTTGCCTCTCTGTTTCCCTAAATAGACCTAGAGTCCATCCTTCTACATTTTTCTTTGACAAAGAGATAACAGAACTTATATTCTGCTTATCAAATTACAGGCTGCTTTCATTCGATAGAGAAAGAAAGATGGCAAACACCTTTGGTAAAGGTCTGCTTTGTTCTTCAGAACACAAGATGCACTTCGGTTGATATGGAATGAGAAGTCTTCTTAGGGAAAAGCAAACAGAAGTATGGAGAGGTTGAAAAAGGAGAAGGAGGGGCACCTGGGTGGCTCAGTGGGTTGGGCCTCTGCCTTTGGCTGGGGTCCTGATCTCAGGGTCCTGGGATCGAATCTTGCATTGGGCTCTCTGCTTGGCGGGGAGCCTGCTTCCTCCTCTCTCTGCCTGCCTCTCTGTCTACCCGTGATCTCTCTCTGTCAAATAAATAAATAAAATCTTAAAAAAAAAAAAAGGGAGAAGGAACCCAAGTTCCAGGGACCCCAACCACAGGAGGAGTCAGGCACATTAACAGCGTTGCAGGTGGGCAGGGGGGCCGGCTTTGGAGAGATCTGAAAAGCAGTGTAGGTGCCTTTTACCTAGCAGCTAGGGAACCATCTTCTCCTTGTCACCTTGTTCTTAGGCCATCAAATCCAGTTGCGGGTGGTTTTTTAAAAAAGGTGTGACGAAATTAGGGAAGGGTTCTAGTCACACTATTGCCCCCTCCCCACTGTAAAAGTACCAGTTTGTTGCCTATAGAAGGCAGAAGACTGAAATACAGAAGACTAAAGAAGGAAATAATAACACCCGAAACGAAGGTAACATTGTGTATCAACTCTACTTCAGCAAAAAAATAAAGAGTGAAAATGAGAGGGCGCCTGGGTGGCTCAGTCTGTGAGTGTCTGACTCTTGGTTTCCAATCAGGTAATGATCTCAGGGTGGGGAGACTGAGCCCTGAGTCTGGCTCTGAGCTTAGTGGGGCAGTCTGCTTGAGAATCTCTTTCCCTCTCCCTCCCCACTAATGCTCCCCCTTCTTGCTTGGACACACATTCTCTCTCTCTGATACATAAAATCTTTAAAAAAAAAAAAAAAGGAATGAAGGGGCACCTGGGTGGCTCAGTGCGTTAAAGCCTCTGCCTTAGCTCAGGTCATGGTCTCAGGGTCCTGGGATGGAACCCCACATTGGGCTCTCTGCTCAGCAGGGAGCCTGCTTCCCTTCCTCTCTCTCTGCCTGCCTCTCTGCCTACTTGTGATCTCTGTCAAATAAAAAATAAATAAAATCTTTAAAAAAAGAATGAAAATGAGAAAATAAAAAATCCAATTAATCTTCAACCTGTCAGAGATAATCATTCTAAAATACTTCCCAATTTATTTATTTTTTATTTTTTTAAAGATTTTATTTATTTATTTGACAGAGAAAGACACAGCGAGAGAGAGAACACAAGCAGGGGGACTACGAGAGGGAAAATGGGCTCCACCCCAGGACCCTGGGATCATGACCTGAGCCAAAGGCAGATGCTTAATGCTTTATGACCGAGCAACCCAGGCACCCCTCGATTTATTTTTCAAAAACAGGATTATCCCACATACCGCTCTTAGAATCTGTATTTCCACTTATATCGTGGACAATGTTCATCTGGTTTACTTTGAAAAGTCTTGTTATTAATAACTGAAATGAATTCCATCACATAGATGTGTTTGAACTTGTTTAAAACATATAATTTGTTTAACCATGACCATGCAGGTTCGAAAAACAAAATTTATTAAAGGAGTGGAAATAATACCAAACCACATCTGATAAAAATAATATAAATTTTTACTGTAATTTTGGAGTATAAACAACTCAAATACCCTCGCCAAATGAAGGCCAGCTCTGACGGCAGCCCTGCCCTCCTTCTGCACCATTCAGCATGAAGCCTGGGTGAGATGCAGCTGTAGGACTGGATGGTGTGGTCTGGTTCACTAAGAAGTGAGGTGAGTTGTGGATTATAAGGTGTCATTTGAGGGGAGCCATATATATCTCTTCTAGCTTGATTCAGACAGATGCAATACTTCCACCAACGGATTCATTCCTGAGGGTCACTGAAACCTTAAGAAAGGTTTTACCCCTAGTAGGGGCAGGGCATGTGTATTAAGATCAGTCAGTTTTGAAACTTCAGAGTTTCCAAGTCTGAGAACTTTAGCCAAAGAGACCACGACAGCCTAGGAAGTGAGATTCCTGAAGGTGTAGGACTTTCTAGAAGCCTGTGAGGGTATGGACCAGGAGACCAAGCTCCTGAAGGCACACTATTCTAACCTGGGCCATTTAGGGTCTCAGAGACTTAAGATTTGGAGGGAATAAGCCAATCTGACCTCTGAATTTCCTCTCGCCAATCTGGGCTAGACGTGACACTCCAAGGTTGCTTTATCATCTCCCCTTTGGACTCTGCCTTGCCTTCCTCAAAACCTCTGAACCTTGGCTGAACTCAGCTCCCAGCTAACCTATTTCTCCTGGTATTTGAATTTTTACCTCCGTGAATGGCACCACCAATGTGAAAGCTTAGTGAGTCTGGTTTCCTCTCTCACCCTCACAGCCAACCTAGTTACCAATTCTTGTTGATTTTGCCTGTGGACTGTTTCTGAGACCCTTTCCCTCACGGTCAAGCTCAGGAGCACAGCGTGAGCTTAGGGCACCCTGACTCTCCAATCCACCGACACCATGGCCAGAGGGGTCTTCTAACGCTCCTACCGATTATGCCACACCTGCGTCAAAATGGCCTTCCAGATGCCCAAACTCTTGAGCACGGGATTCAATGGTGTCCACAACCTGGCACCCACTTATTGCAACCTATTCTTCCAGCTCACCAGTTTATAAGACTTTTCCTGAACACCCTGTGTGTACGCACGGCTCTATTTTTGTGGCTCTTCTGTCCTCGTTAAGTTCTCGTTTATCCTTCAAGAGCTGGCAAATGTCGCCTCTGTACCTGGGAATTCGTTGTTCCTTGCCTCGGGTTCCCTTTGAGCTCGGCATGATCGTCCTCGCACCTCGACTGTGAACTCCTTGAGGGTGGGGACCTACCCCTTGCACCTAGCATGGTGCTCAAAGAGACACTCAGCAAATAATTATTGCATTAGATAGCCAGTGTTTACAGTCTGTACTTCCTTAGGTGCCTATATACTGCCCTGCAGTCTTTTCATGTATGTGAGGTGTGACGGAGCCCTGATGTGACTCATTATTGACTAAACATACCAGAATTTATGTAATCAAACCTGAGCTGCTTCCTTCAAAATATTCACCTTATGAGATGGGATCCTTCATCCACCGATGCTGTCATCCCTCCAAACACCTTTGGAGCACTTCTCTCTTGGAAACAACTTTGTCATCTATAGTACTTTCTTTTCAATCTCGTCTGTGGTAGCTTTTTTGGTTTCTATTTATTCAGCATTGATTAAGTGCTTATCTATCCCAGGCATCAAGCTGGTGGGGGTGAAAGATAAGATTAATCAGACATTGACTCTGGTGGGGGTGAAAGATAAGATTAATCAGACGTTGACTCTGTCTTCAAAGAAGTTTCTGTTCGCTTATGGAGATAAGATCTGGATTACCAACAGAGATGCAAGGTGAAGTGATAATGTTCCCTCAGGGTGTATCTGATTTTTGGAAAAAGCCAAAAGTCCTTTGGTTTCAGCCTCCCAGCAAACGGAAACACAGAGAGGTCTTTGAGCCAATGTGTTCTCAGCACTTCCAAGAAGGAGCCCAGCGCGTTTCCAGCACCCCTCTGCCCAACCAGACTAAACTGACTGGCACGTTCGTTTCAAACCCAGAACCCCACCTTGTGGCAATGCTCTTCTACGTACGGAGTGTTCCCAGCTAAAGCTAAGCTCTTTGAGGTCTTATTTTCATTTTTGTTTTCACAGCATCTGGGTGACACCTAATATATGTCGGATAAATATTCATTCAATTACTGAGCCCAAGAGGTGTCTCCCCGTGCCACATGGACTTCACACCGAATGTCCTCTCCCCATGAGCTTTACACTCGTGGTAGGGACAGATCCTTAAGGGACAGACGATAACGACCGAAAGGACCAACGCCGGGGAGGGCACGCGTGGGGGCACTGGCGGCGGATCTGGGACCAGAGCCCGGGAGTTCCTGCTTCCTGGTTCCCCGGAGCGAGTGTCCTTTGGTGGGAGCCGCGGGGAAGGGAGCAGCCCTTCCTGCGCGTTGGTCGCCCGCCCCTTCCCCAGCCTCCCAGGGACTTGTGCGGAGCGGCGCCGGCCGGGGACGCCGAGCGTGGCAGGGCCACTCACAGGAGCCCCCCTCCCCCCCAACCAGGTTATGAGGAAGGCTTTCAGCTCCTGGGAAGGGCAGTCGGAGACTGGGCCAGGACAGGCAGGAACCCGGGGGCTCCGGGACGAGGAAGAGAGTCGTGGCCGAGGGATCCAAGGGAAAGTCCGGGCGCCGGGGAGCGGCGGAGGCCGCGTCTAAGCCGAGGGGTCCGCGCCGCCCGACCGCCGTCCAGCCGTCCCGCCGCCCCGCTGCGCGCGCGCCTCCCCTCCCCCGCCGGCCCCGCCCCCTCCCCCGCCCCCGCCTGGCCGCCCCCTCCCCCTGCCGCCCAGTCTCCTCCCCGAGGGGCCCGGGGCAGGGCAGCCCCTCCCTCCGGCTCCCTCCCTCGCTCAGCGACGCGCATCTCATACCAGCCCTCATTCCGCACATTCCGGGCGTCCTCCTTTCAAACTCCAGGCCAGGGGGCGGGCAGGGCCCGAGCTCCCGGCTCCCGCCGCCCGCGGCCGCGTCCCCCAGGTGAGTGGCGCCCGCCCCGCCGCGCGCGCCGCCCCCCCGCCGCGCGCCGGCCCCTGGGCCGCGTGCGCCGCGGCTCTTTTCTTCCCCCGTCGCCCTTCCCGCCCCGGACCTCTCGGCCCGGCCGGCGCCCCCGCTGCCCTCCCTTCCGCCGCTGGCCCCCGAGCTGCCTTCCTCTAGCCGGTTGACTCACTCCTCCAGGAATAGGGAGCTCCCGTGCTTTCCCGTCAGTCCCATTCTGGGAAAACTCCTCCCTCGGCGCGCTTCGCTCTGCTCCGCTCCGCTCGGCGCGCCAGCCCCCGGCGGGAGGGCTCCGGCCGCCCGCCCTCCTCCCTGTCGGGCCGGTGGCCCCCCGGGCCGCCGTGGGGCTCGGCGCGCTGCCCTCTGTCGTCCCGCAGTGCCGTCACCGCCCCCGGCAGCTCAGCGGAGCCGCGGCGACGAGTTGGCGCGCGCGGTGAACCCCGCGGAGCGGGCTTAGCGCCTCCGCCCCACCTTCCCGCACCCTGGGACCGGTAAGGCTGCGGCGCGGGCGCTCGAGGACCTGGCCCGAGGGCTGGCGTCGGGCGGGGCGTGGGGAGCTCGCCCGGCACGTGAAGGCGGCGCGGACCTCGGGCTGGGGCCGGCCCCGGGATGGTGGATGAGAGGTGCTTCGCGCGAGGGGGGTCCCGGAAGCCGAAGGCCCCCAGCACCCCTGCCTCGTTTCTGCCAGGCCCTTTTCTGACTTGGGAGAGCGAGTCCTGAAGGTAGTGGGTGGGCTGGTGCGAATGCCGAGGCTTTGCGCAAGTGGAGGAGAGCCCTCCGGAGGGTCCCCTGCTCCCCGGGGCTGGAGAAGCCTGTTGTACTCCACGGTGGGGACCAGCCCGAGGGAGGAGAGCTCCCAGACCCGGAGCGCGCCTTTCCCAGGGACACAGGCTCCGTGCACATGTGTGGAAAGGGGATTCTGGTCACACACAGTGGCTGTCTGATGCGTTCATGTGACCGCCCGACTGTCCCCTCTCCCGAGCTTTGGGTGTATGTACAGTGCCAGTAGGCGTATTTGTTTGTGTTGAACGTGAGTGTGTTTCCACTGGAGAAGAGTGCTGTCTGAAAGTCTGAGTGTCTCTAAGTTCCTGTGCAGTGCCACGTCTGTATGTACGTGTATTTCTCGGAGGATGTTGGTTCTGGGCAGGACTGTTTTTCCTGCCTGCATGACCGTGGGCAAGAGACCGTGTCTCTGTTGTATGTGTGCAGGGATAATTGCACTGTGGTTGTTGGAGTGTGTGGTCCCCAGGCTCCATTCGCCCTGGACTGGACAGAGCTGGAAGGAAGCTGTCCACACCTGCCTCCTCCTGGCAGCTGTCTTTCTGAGGGCCAGTGGGTTCTGTTCTTGCCTGAAACAATCCAGAGAGCAAGGTGGGAGAAGACTAAAGGAAACAGATCTTTGTCTAGAGGTGATGGGATGGGCTGTTGATAGAAGTGGAGATGTTTCCGGAACTGTCTTGAATCTTGAGAGGTGTATGGCCAGTGCTTTTCAAGTTGGCCCTGAGGACAAAGAGAATGGGTGTATACCAGCCTGAACTTATTTTCCGCTGGTCCACTGTCCTTGGAGCTAGCTACCCAGCAGTCAAATGGGAGAATCCTAATTCTTTACACTTTGCTGTGGGAAGGGAAGGGAGTAACTGCGCCCACGCTTTAGTGCCCGGCAGGGGAGGGAAGGGCTGCCTCTCATTTGCTAGTGGACCCGCGGGAAGACACTTCTGGGTGTCTCTGGTGTTCCCATCTCTTCCTTTCTGTTTTGCTTTTTTGTTGTTGTTGTTCTTTCTCCATTTGGGTTTTTTATCATTTGAAATTATTTTAGAGGCAGAAACTGGGCAGGGAGGGAGTCTGTCCGGCTCTCCGGCTGTCCCGGGGATTGGCAGAAGTGACATAGTATGTGATGGTGTTGGTAGGGGGGCACTGGCAGATCGGGTACAGCGTTCTTTCTTCATTCCCACAACAAGGTGATGGGTAATGTCAAGGACTCTTGGAAGGAAGAAACAACAACACTTTCATAGGGGTGGTGGCTGGTAGCTGCTCCTTCATGCTCCCCCCGCCACCAGCAGGGGGGTGGTGCAGATGATTCAGTGAGAGCCACCTCACCTGCTTAGACCAGGTGTGCACCTAGAGCTTTGAAGACGTCGGGTCTCAGGGCAGCATTGATGGGATAGAAAACATACAGATTTGGGGCTGGACATACTGGGGTGCAAATCCCGACAGTCATTTGGCAATTGTTAAGGCCCTCAGGCTAGTTTCCTGATGAGTAATATGGGAGGGGGGTAATTAATATCCATCTCAAGCATTTGTTGTGAAAATTGGGTGTTTGCCAACTACCCAGCACACTGTATGGCCCATTCCAGACTCAGTAGCAGTATTTCCAAAGAGTATTTCGGCATGGAACCTCTTTTTTTCCTAAGAACTTCTCTGAACACCCTTTGACAAACCCTGCCCTGTTCGTTTGTGTTTACTTAGCAAACAGGAATTGAACCTTTGCCATAGGCCAGACCCTGTATGATGTTCTTCATCCTTAGGAACCAGGGTAGCTGGTGGCCCAGGTGGAGGTGGAGGCAGGGCTTTGTCCTGGGGAGCACAGGGTCTGCAACTCCTTTGCTCTAACTCCAGTTTTGCCTTGACCCCCCCCCAGCGTGAACCTGCTGAATGTTATTGGACACTGTGATGTTAGCATCCAACTCCCTCATTTTAAAAGACCGGGAAACTCCTGGGTGGCTCAGGCAGTTAAGTATCTGTCTTGGGCTCAGGTCATGATCCCGGGGTCCTGGGATAGAGTCCTGCTTCTCCCTCTGCCTGCCGCTCCCCCTGCTTGTGCACGCGCTCTCCCTCTCTCTCTCTCTCTCACTCTGACGAATAAATAAAAATCTTTGAAGACAGGGAAACTGAGACAGGGAAACTAGCAGGTCAGTAACTTGCTTAAGATAGCACAACCAGTGAATGACAGAGCTGGGACTAGAGTCCATTCTGTTCTCACTTCACATTCTGTCTTCTCTGTGGATCCCAATGCTCAGACCCCCTCCCCCCAGCCCCCTTAATCCGATAGGTGTGGGGGCTGGAGCGGTCTGGCTTGGTGACGTCTCCCGTCTTGTGGCTCAGATGGGAGGCGGAAATACTCCCTTTTGTCTCAGCAGAAAGCACAGAACTATAGAATCTGAGGATGCCGACTTGGGAAGGGGTCCTCTGGGGATACTTAAATGCACCCTCCGTTTGCCTCACTGGTTTGTACATTACTTGGCCAGGTGGAGAAGGGTTTCCCTATCTTTCTAGATCTCCCAGGATGCAAATGTCGCAACCTCCCTCGACTTCCATTCTGGAGTCTTGCACTGGTGACCGGCACAGAGCGGTACCTGTTGCCTAATCAGTGGCTCCTCTCCTTCTCAGTGCAAGTGGAGGACAGGGGTCACCAGCTTTGCTTCATGGCCTTTCCTGTAGTCGAGGTCAGTCTGGGGGCAGTGGGAAATTCAGGGCTTGTGAGGGTGGCTTTACCTTGCTTGTCTGGCTTTGCCCCCCATGACCCTTTGTTGGCAGGGGTTGGCAAGACAGCTCCCTTTTAAAGCTCTGAAATTGGAGCTGAACAGCTGCTCTCTGGTGCCCCCCTCCTTCCCCCCCAGGGGTTTAGCCAGCTCAGGGGCCCAGGTGGAGGTGGGGGCAGGGCTTTGTCACTGGGCAGTGCGGTCTCCAACTCTGTGTTCTAGTTCCAGCTTTGCCTTGACCTCTTCTGAAATGACAGTTCTCCCCTTGCTTTCCGTTTTTCTATTTAGATATTAAGGGGATTCTAATCACCTCCTGGGTGATAGGGTCCTGGAGCCTTCAGCTGATAGCAACTGGATCTTTGGGAACATTTCCACTGGAACTCCAGTCCGTAAGATGGGTGCCCACATCCTCCTGCCTTTAACACAGGCAGGCCTCTGGAAAGGCAGGAGGACTGGCCAGCTCCATCACTGTGCTGAGGGTGGGCGGGCCCCCATGGGTGGGGACCTGGCTTCCTTTGGCCCAAACTTCACGGGAACAATAGACTTCAGAGGAGTCACCAGGGGCAGGAAATGGGAGCTGTGCTAAGGCAGGGTGACCCTCCTGTGAGATGAGATTGCATATCCGGCCGAAAGGAAAGGCAGGGTGTTGGGGGCAGTGCAAAGGGCACTGGGGAGGGCTGATGACACATAGGGTGGGCTTCTCCTTCCCAGGGGGCCCTTTACTTAGAGTGAAACTGGAGCTGCTTAGAGCCCAGTATTCAGCAGAGCGGTCTGCTTTATGCCTTACCAGCAAAGGTACTGTGGTGTCTGCCAGCGTCCGCTCATGCCAAGCTCACTCCTGCCAGAACCATGAATTCCCCTTCCCTTCAAGCCCTTGAGAGGTCTTCGTGAATTGTCCTGGCTGGGATAAAAGGCTAGTTTTGTTTCTTCCTGGCTGATCTCCATCTTGGCTTTGAGCCTTGAGTAATAGTTGATGAGGGAGGCAACTTGTTCAGTAGGCAGAGCTCTGGGTAGGGAGGCAACAGGCCTGGGTCAGCTGGACAAGAATGTAAAGGGATTTTTTTTTTTTTTTTTTTTTTTTAGCTATAGTCAGAGCAAGATAACCAGGACAGGCAGGGGGAGATTCCTGCTTGAAGCATGTGGTGGATGATTCTAGGAGGCAGAGCACACTTCTGTTGCCTTTCTCTCTGTGAGGAAGAGCGAGCAGACTTGGTGAGAGGGCTCAGGAGAAGGAGCGGGCTTTGGGAGAAAGGAGACACTGCACCGACTTGCCTTTTATGAGTCCCGGTGGCTGGGTTCTTACACATCAGGTTTGGGGGTCCTGCTAGCCGCTGTAGGCGTTAAGCAGAGACTCTCTCTAGGATCTGGGGAGGGGCCCTGTGAAATTGGAGGGGGAGGTGGCGGGGGCACAATGATAACTGCTGTTACCATTTTTCCTTCATGTGGGCAAGAACTGGAAATGGCAGGCTGGTAAGCTTCTTATTGACGAAGGGACTCCAAAAT